CTAGAGCGCCAGCAAAAAAAAGAAAATTTTCTGTTCGAAATCCAGAAATAAATAAGACAGATCCTTCCTCTAACAATCGGTTATCTTTGGAAGACAGTTATAGTCTTCAAAAGATTTTTCACTTTACGTAATTTCTATTAGTATGATGAGGCTAAAGAACACATGTGAATTCCACAGTTTACTTCCGGAGGAATTATGTTGACAAGTTTTTCCACCCGTTCATCAAAATCATTCAAAATATTCTTACCCAAAAAAAAAGGTTTGTTCTTTCTTTGTATCTATTCTGAATAGATACATATTTGTATTAAATCAATATATGTTTCGCATAGTCATGAGTAGGTGGCCTAGCCTATGAAAAGAGTATGCTTCTTTTAACGTCTGCTAGCCATCACAATTGATGAGAGTGTGAGCGCGAATGTATGGCTGAAAAGAAGACACACCACATCCTAATTGCAGATTATCATAATAGACTAATTCAGTAGAAGAAAAATGTGTACAGAATATTATACTTCAACGATTTATCTTTTATTGAAGCCAAAAATAGTTATGATTATACAATAAAAACATAATTTAAGATCGATAGACGAATATTTCAAAGTTTTTCTGTTTGTCTTTCATTCTTTCTTTTTCAATAATAAACATTTGATTTGAATTTAACTGCTTGATCTTTTTTAATTTTCTAAACGAGAAAATATTTACAAGTCTTCAACTCAATTTTCGATATTTTGACTTTCAACCAAAGTTGAAAGAATCGTCTGTAGGGAGTAGAGCCCGTCGAGTCCGAAAATTTTCAAACCCAAATCTAGTCAAACTGTATATTGATCCTCTCAATGAAATTGGATAGTCGCCCCGAAGGTACAAGATATATTTTTCCGGCTTTTTGATGTTCGATCACTAAGGCGCTCTGCACATTCCACAAATGACTAGAACTATAGAGTCTAAAATTTTCCCAACCCGAATCCGATGGGCTCTAGTAGGAGAAAGGAATTGAAAATTTCTACCCCACATATCTTCAACACTATTTTTAAATCGTATTTCACAAAAAGAAACAGCTTGGCATTTATCAATTAATAAAGAAAGAAAAAAAAAATAGATTATCATACAATTAATTCCTAATGAAATACTTTTCAAAAAGACATGAAACAAAAAAAGATACATAATAATCAATGACATAAATTAGTATCACCAAGTTCTTCATAAAGATGTTTAGTTGAACATTGAATAATATGACTTGGTTGTTCATCTAAACTTGTATTACTCATAATTGATGTTGATGTTATTGGTTCTTTATCAATACCATTGCTATATTCAGATGATAAACTTGTTATATGATTCGTTGTTACACTACTACTTAATGTTCTATTATGATATTGTAAAAAACAACAAGGTGAAGGTCGTATACATGGTAATTGTCTTGTACTATGATAATACCATGATGAAGTAGGGTTTAAATATGTTTGACAATTATTCTTTTTTAAATAATGATATTTTATTGATGGAGAAGAAACAATTGAATATGTATATATTCCATCATTATTATTTCGATCAATATACATATTATGTTTATGTTGTTGATTATGAAATAAATGATGAGAATGTTTTTGTTTATAATTTAAATGACAAATAAATGATAATATTATTAAAAAACATATTGTAAGAATAGTACCAAAAAGAAAACCAAATATAATTGAACGATTAAAAAATAATGTTTGTTTATTAGATGTTGTTGATGTTATTGTTGTTGTTGTTGTTTGTCGACAATATTTATCACTACCATATGATAAACGTGTTATTAATAAACATACATGATAAATTTTATTTGATGGTAAATTAGGAATAATATATTGTTTAAGATATGGTGATATAAAATCAGTTTGTCGAATAATTTCAATTTTAGAAGGATATTCTTGTTCAATAATTATTTGAAATTTTGTATTTAGAAAATAATTTGTTAATATATTTGTATCAAAATCCCAAAAAATTAATAAATCATTATTTTCATAATATGTATTGAAAGATGTTAAATGAAATGATAAAATTGAATTTTGATCATTATTAAGTTTTTCTGCTGTTTCAATTACTATAAAAAACAAAAATAACTTATTGATAGAATTTAAAATGTTTATAGTTTCTGAAAAAAGATGTTTCAATAAGAAAAATTCGAATTCGAAAATTAGCGATGATATTATTGAAATGATATCTGATAGTAGAACAATAGATTTTTATGAAGTTTGATACTTCTAGTTGAAAGAAAAAGAATATTTCTACATCTCAGCAGATTCAATAGCTCGATATTTTCCCTAAAACTAATAAAAACTGTAGACAGAAGGCCGATCTAATGCAGAATATCTTGCACTCAATTGCTTGAGCTCTTCATATACACTAACTAATTATAAGAGCGAATTAGTATTAATTGCACGAAAGGATAAAGATCGAATAAGTAAAATCCTGAAAAAAAAGAAATTTGAATAGCTAACAGACATCATCAATTTATT